TTCGCTCAATGGGCCCAACTGAGCCGCCAGCTGCGACTCTCTCGTCGACGTCCCCGAACTGGCCGCCGTGCATGGTCAGCCTATTGAGTTTAACTTGCAGATGATCATTTAAGCATCATCGCCCGCGTGATACTAACGCAGGGCGCTGCGCTGCTTGGACCTATATTGGCACTTGTGTGAGTCCTGACAGTTATGCTTTCAATCCAGATGGAGCTCGTTTACCGTCATAGTTCTCATCTCTCGTCTGAGTAAACTCTCTCCTCGTCACAGCGTCCCATGCATACTCACCCTTGCCGGGTTGTTGTATGCAAGGAACTACCACTTGCGGTGTTGAAGGGTGACTATGCACTGTTTGGGCGTCCCAGCGGTAATGTGTGGCGCGGGTTCCTTGGCGTTAGAGGCCCTGAATTGGGACACCGGATCGACTCGGAGTTGATATAGCCTTTAATAGGCGCATAGTATCCCTCTGCGCGCGCACGGTGGAGTGTACGCACGAACTGCCCATAGGATAGATACCCAAGACTGGGTGTACAAACATTAAAATTACTCAAAAAAAAAAAGAGAAAGCATTCTTGGCCATTCCGGGAACGCACCTAGCTCCTCCGAACTCTCGCATGCGATTGCAATGAGAAGAAAGACTGAGTCGGTAGCGTTGACGCGGCCGCACGTGTGCAGCCGAAAAAGATGTTCTCCCTTTCCTCTGAACCGTGCTTCTCAGGTAGGACTGCAGGTTCGCAACGACATTATAGCATTCAAACCAAACCCGGCCGCATCGTTGCATCCTGTACACACGTCTATCATTTACGCATGTTTGTCGTGATCACTTAGAATGTTGCAGGGCTGGCTATTGCCCTGCAGTCTCATGATACTCTCACGCGACGGCGAGGCTCACAGCAGGAATACCACCGTTGTCTCGCTATGGAAAGGAAGAGAGGCATCGACTGAATAAGATGAGCCACCCTCCTGAACATAAAAGTTGGCCTTCTAAAAGGGCTTGGGCTCGCTATGTCGGAACGCCCGTTCCTTCATTGTAGCTCCAGCCGAAAATATTCTCTAGTCCAGCGCCAACGATATAAAGATCCGTCGTCATTATATTTGTACATATGTCCAATCAGCGGGCAAATAAGGGGGGCCGGGACCGGGGTGTACCGGCCGAGAAAGCGTCGAAAACTACGGGATACAACCTGGCGAGTCGATAGCGATGATTAATGGGACTACGTGCGATTACATACATCCAGCACTGGACATGCAGTGTGTGTGGGCATTCTGGACGGGGCGTGCTCTGCGCCGCTCGTCATTATTGGTGGTTAGGTGGGATGTTACCTGTGCGCCGCGTCAGCGGCGATGCCAGCACCGGATTGGCGCAGCGTGGGACTCACCAAATATGTTAGCATAGTCCTGGACGTACATCGAGGGCTGGTCGCTGTGGGTGCCACTCGCATGATGCGCAACCATATCGCCTATGACGGGCACGCCGTAAGACGTGTCCATCTGTCCAAGAGACGAGTAGTCGTTCCAGTACTGTGGGTATCGCTGGCTCTGCCTTTCTGAGTGACGACTGATCCCGGACGACAGGCGTTCATCGACGAGTCCTGTGCTGTATTGTTGCGGCAAAACCGACGTGGACAGGTTGGCACCGTAAGAGGGCAGGGAGGCCTCGGATGTCCAGCGATCATAAGAATGGAAGGTCGGAGACTCCGCAGGCACCATTTGCAGACTGTTCATTGCGAAACTCTGGTGGACCGGGCTCGGAGCAGGAAGCCCCGGAGGCGCCCGATACAGCTGCTCGTTCGCCAGCATACGGGCGTTATCATCGGCTTGCTGATCGAGTGAGTGCTCGGCGGATCGCTTGTTCCTATCGGACACTCGCGGCCTGAGCGCCGCGACGGTGTCTTGAGCATGTTGCGTGTTCACTTTGGAGCCCTGCAGGAGCTCCAGGGCCCGCCACGCGCTTCCCCACAGAATTCGCATCCGCTTGAGGACATCCATACATTTGTTCAGGCACACCCGGGCCTGAGCGTCATCGGGGTAAGCCATCACTGGCGCAACTGAGTATCAGCCTGGAACGCCGTAGCAGAGGTATTGTACATACAGGTCGATACATGCATGACCGCTGCCGTGAAAACATAGTAGCAAAGATACACCGAAGCGCGCTTCGCCGTGTAGTTCTCGACATATACTGAGACTGAGGAGCTGGTAAGCGGATGCGCAAAGGGCAGGACGAGCGCACACGTACCGATAGAGGTGATGTGATTAGCTGCTTGTACACAAATATCATAATTTTGTCTTGAATTCGCCCGCATGTCAGAGTCCTTCGAGGACGACGACAGCCTGTGAACGAGTCAGAACTACAGCCACGAACCAAATGCCATATGACTCACGGTCTGCTGGAACTGTCTGACGCGAGGTGGCGGATGCTGCAACCAGGTCAGGGTCGCTACGATGTGAGAGAAAGCTGTCATCACGCACAATGGCCTGTGCAATAATAGCACGGTACACCAGTACTGCATATGCAACGTGAGCACGTGGGGCAACGGCGCAGGACTTTTCGGTGCCGCAGGATCAAAGCGTAGGTGGTCAGGAAGGTCGAGATACCACTTGGACAGTAATTCTTCGTGCCGAGAAAACTCCGCCTGGCGGTAGCATTTGGGCTTGATGGCGTAAAGACCTTGCATAATCATACTCAGGATGATGGCTAGTATGACATCGTAAGTCGAGAGCGCATCGCCACCGAGGGAGAATACGCACAGAGTTTCGCCGACTCACTGAAGCAGGACACAACGCGACACGCTACGGGGGTCACTGCGGGGAAATTGGGCTCCACACTGTCATCTAGAAGCGGAGCGGAGGGATGAGGTGACCAGAGGTCCGGTTCCTCAGACTACGCCCAAACGTCAGATACACACGCGGGCAGATCCGATCAGAACCACTCACGCCGTCCACGATGGGGAGCTCCGTATCAAAATCGCGCTCGAACACGGTCACAGGGCGGCCTAGGGGCCGTCAGCGCCACGGACGGGGACACAGCGAAAAAGGCGAACGCACCGATATACGCCGAGACGTACTTGTCCATGACGACACAGCCGTACCAGATGCGCCGCCGCTCCTGCAGCTCCGTCCCGTTGAACAGCGTCCGTCCGACGCTGCTCCACTTTTCCGCACTCTTGTGCAGTCCGAGGTCCTGCGCCATGCGCACGGCCATGCCAATGTACAGCCACGCCTGGGCCATGGCCCCAATGCCGACCTCGCGGTAGCCCATGAGCAACAGCGCCTGGCACGTACTCGGGCGCGATGCCGCGTACGAGCTGTCGAGGATGACCTTGGCGTCCTCGAGATAGCGCTCCCCCGCGGTCCATATCGAGCCCTCCTGCGGGGGCGGCACGTCGCTCGATGTCGCGGAGGAGTATCGCGCAGCGATAGAAAACATCGCGAGCAGGAGCAGCGTCGGGACGCGCCGTTTGCGGCTTGATGGGCCCGGTGACGCGCTGTCCGAGGCCTCCGAGTACGGGGAATCAGCAGATAGTGCGCCCCTGGATCAGTACATATGGTTAGCGGTCTGCTGAAACAGATGCGCGGGGAATGCAGACGCACCCGCTGCGGAAGTCCTCCATAAAGGTCCACTTCTGCACGATGGGGAGAGCCGGATGCACGTAGGTCCAGTAGAGGTCCAGCAACAGCTCCTGCGTCGCCTGGTCAGGCAGGAATGGCGTAAAATTCTCCATGCCCTTGGCCTGGTTCGACGCCGACGGCGGCAGAGGCGGCCACACGCGTGCTTTCGGAAAACGCCTGCGGACGATGATCAGTGGGCGCAGAGGCCAGCAACGGCACAGCGATCGCGATGCTGCTCACCATATGCCTCCCTCGTGCCGCTCGTCTTCGCGATCCTTCACACCGAGGAGGTGCAGCCCGCTCACCTTGCCATGGAAGCGCACCTGCTCGTCCTCATTTAGGCTCAGCTGGCCCACCTCGATCGCGAGCTCGTCTTCGCCGCCGACGACGTCCGGGTCGTCGCGCTGCGCGTAGCCCTCGTCGTCGTGCATCTCCGGTGATCGCGCCGATGTGTCCGCAAGGGACGCAACGGAGCCACGGTGTCCGAGGAACGCACGCGAGCCCGAGACGGAGCGCGCCGAGGGCGGATTCGCCACTGCAGGGGAGTGTGAGCGCCCAGAGGTGGTCGACGGAGAACGCTGTCCGTGCTCGTCCCCGTCCAGGCGTCGACGCTGACGCCGGAAAGGCGGCTCGCTGGTCGGGTGCTCCGAGGCAGAGCTGAGGACGGCAGATGCGGGGCCTACGAGCGTGCTCGAGCTGCTCGGCTGTATGATGTTCAGCACTGGTCGGGTGGACTGTGATGCTTCGTCGGTTGGAGACTGCGAGTAGCGTATGCCGCTTGTCGGGTCTGAGGCACGTATCAGCGGCGTGACAGCGGGCAACTTGACGCATGGGCTTACCGTCGACAAGAGTGTTGCGAGTGGCAGCGACGGCGTTCAGCCGCGCTATAACGGAATCCTGCCATTCAGTGGACGGGCTGTCGGAGTGGTATCAGCACTGCCATCCCAAACAAAGCGAGCGTGGACGTACTGCGAGGCGTGGACATTGGAGTCGTCTCGAGAATCAGTCGAGGGTGGAGGTCTCGTGCGATTCGAAGTCGCAGGCTCAGAGCCGCGAGCGCGGCCCTTGTGGCCATACGGAGAATTATCGACACGATTGATAATTTCCCTTGCGAGGTGGTCCTAGAAAAGGCAACAGCGATCAGGGTTCTGGGATCAGTCGGACTTGGACGGGGGACCCTGCTTAGGCCAACGGGGAAAGGGTGTACGAATGCGCATGTACGCGGTCGAACGTGATAGTGCGGCCGCTGGGCACTGAAACGCCGCATAGGCCGCGGAGGGTCGTAACATTACTCACGTCCCGCGCAGAGATCGCGAGTTTCGCGCGTCAGGGGCGGGACGTAACGTCATCAAGAGCTCAGCGACGCTTGGGTGCATGACGACGCTGTTCGGGTGCCTATAGGGAGAGATCAAAGACGCTCACCTCGCTCAAATCGTCAAGCAGGCCCCTGGCGCGGCTGTCCTTGCTGCCGAGCAAAATGCCAATGAGAGCTTCTGTCTGGTGGAGGCGGGCTTCGATGGCGTCGATGTAGCCCTTGGGGGGGCCGCGCTTGCGCGACGGGCCGAGGAAGGTGCAGGCTGGCACGTGCAGTCAGCACAAGTGTGTGGGCGACCCCGCGAGAGTGAGACTGGGTGCGCGTGCCTCAGGGGTGCGCGCGCAGGGCAGCGGGCCGTTGGGGGAGTGAGGGAAACGACTTACCAGTACCGAGCATGACACAGTTGCGACACGGGTCCTGGGGGCTGCTTCGTTCACACTTGCATTTGGATTTGCGGCATTGGTCGCAGGCCTTGCTGCTCCTGCGGCGGACCTGTTTCTCGGCCTTGGATGCGGCGCTGCCGGGGGCGAGGCCGGTGCCACTGGAGTAGGCGGAGAGGGCGAGGCCTGCGAGGGTGGAGCCAGGAATATCACCTACCTCGTCGCCATCTGCGTCGTCGTAGTCGTCGCTTATGGCGAGTGCTTGGGCATGGTGACCATTCATAGCCGAGGGCAGGGGGTATGGGTGGGAGCGGTCGACGGCGTACGGGTGGACATAGGACGAGGCGGATGCGGAGGAGCCCGCTGCAGATTGGGGCCAGGCTTGGGACATGAAGGTGAAGGGGGCAGCGGAGGGGGATGTTGGGGAGGAGTCGATGTCGGATCCAAAGCGAAATATAGCGTTGTCCTGAGAGCGGGACGCACGGTGTTCGTAGTACTGTGAGAGCGAGAGGGAAGGGTTCTGGAGGGGATGGTGGTGGGAGGAGGAGGGAGGGGGAAGGTCGGGGGACTCTTCGAGCTTGACGGGGATTTGGGACGACGAGGCGGGGAGTGGAGCAGGGGTGGCGGAAGGGTAGGCGGATTTGTGGTACTGATCGTTGAGACCATAGCGGACGGAGTAGGAAGGATAAGAGGTCGGGTGGGGGTTGGCGGGGTGGGTCATGCCCGGCGGGGAGGAGAGGGAGAGCGGGAGGGGATGGGGAGGGGACGAGGAGGAGGAGGAGGAAGAGAGAGATGAGCGGATGGGCGGAGAAGAAGAGGAATTTACGGACCAGGGGCTGGCGGAATGGAGAAGATAGAAAATTTGCGGAGACCGGGGTCTGGAGAGCCGGGGGGTGGCGGATGAGACACGCAAGGAGCACGTTGTGGAGGGAGAACAGGCAGATCCGCGCAGACGTTGGCGCACGCGCGTACGGCGGCTGCGACGGTCGCGGACTCGTTCGCTCTCGCTACCTGCACTGGGCCACGGCCGCCCGCGTCTCAGAAATCGAGATCTAGAACTGGGCGCGAGATGGCTTGCCCGCGTCTGCTCACGACAACAGCCTCGGGTGGAAAGCAGTCGGCAGCGGTGTCCGGAACAGCGACGGCAGCGACGGCAGCAACGACGACAACGACAACGACAACGACAACGGGGGGTCAGCTCGCACTCTGTGGCCGCTTTGGTCAGCAGCCGGGCTCTCCTCCGCAGATGCCGGTCTCACGTGTCTGCTCCTGCTCCTCCCTCGCCATTTTTGTGTTTGCAGAGAGCGTCCAATTTTTTTTTCTGCTTTCAGATGCGCCGCGCCATGCGGAACGCAGACTCTGGGCGACACCGGGCAATGACGGACTCCAAGGCGCCTCGTCCCGACTCCCACAGACGCCAAAGATGCGGCGAATCTGCCCACCAATCTCTGCCCCCGTCGTCGTCCGCCCGTCTCCCGCCCGGTGTCGGTGTCGGTGTCGGCGTCGGCGTCGGCGTCGCAGGGTGCAGCCGGGAGCGTGCCGAAAAAGGCCCTGTGTGTGACGCGCGCGGCTGGCTGTCTCGAGTCCGAGTGCTGACTGCGCGTTGGGGATGCCGCCCTGCCTACCGCCATCACATCCGATCTTACTTGGTCTCTGGCAGATTGCTGACCGAGGGCGCACTAGGCGCCCGTGGCCCACTAAGCAACACTGGCCGGATCTGGCTTTATCCCCAAGAGGGAATTCGCGGCTGCTGTCCTTCTGCCACCCTTCTGATGTACCTCACACATCTCCCCTCCCCTCGTCTCTCCGACGCCACGCCCGACGCGAACCCCTTGCCGGCCACCCAGCCTGTGGGTCAGCACCGATTACCTGTTCGGTCCGACGAGTCCCCCTGCCATCATCGCGGGACACCGATCTTGACCCGACCGTCGCCGGCCAACTCGATCGCCAGCCCGCCTCGTCCTCCTCTGAGATGGATGTGCTGTATCTTCAATCACGCCAATAATAATATCGTCTTTTATTGCCAGCCCACCTATCAATAGCCATGGCCGCCGCCGCCCCATTCGATCCCATCAACAGCAGCATCTCGCGCCCTCCGACTCGGAACCTCCAAATGCGACCCTGACACCACCCCATCGATCCCACCTTGCCTGATCCTGCACTCCACTTGGTCCACGAAACCCATGCCAAGGGCCTCTTGAGAACGTCTCACCACTCTTCTGTCCCAAACGTGCACACTTTTGGGCTATATTGAGCACACAAGCCCCATCCAGTCCCACCCAGCGACGCCCCCCACCTAGCGAGGTCTCGGCGGGCACCCCCCCTCCAACCGTTTCAGCCCACGACGAGAATACCCAACACAGAACAGAACGCCTGATCGCTCACAGCCATCCGCTTGGCCCGCACCCACAGTCGATCGCGTCATACCCCGTCTCAGACCAGCCCCCGCCGGCGAACGCGATGCCCGATCGTCCTCGCCAGCGCGGCCACCGCGCTCTTGGAGTCTCTGCCCAGGTCGCATCCCATATGTGGCCATATGCACTTCTGCGCCCGCCGTCGCACGATCGCATCTGTAACTCGGCCAAGCGATCGCATATGGCCTTGTTCAGACGTGCTTACCAGGCCGATCATGAGGCATGGGCGTGCACCCAGGCAGCTCGTCGCGCCCTCTGCCTGCGCGCGCGCGACACCGCCACGTCCTCCGCACGAACGAACCCCTCCTCTATCCTCCGCACTTCCCGGACGCGCCTGCACGCGCGCGGGCCTGAGTGCACACACGAGCCCAGCGCAGAGGTCCGCCGTCGTCTTCCCAATCGCGCGTCGGATCTAGTTCGCGAGAACTGGGCCCGCGGCTTCCCAGAAGGCTTGCGGCCCTCGCGCTGCCCACTCCCCGTCGGCCGTCATGGGCAGGACACGCCGGCCGGAATTGCATCTCGGTCCCAGCCCAGGACGGTCGGCATCGCCGACATCGCGCCGCTGCGGTGCAAAGAAGAGCGAGGAAGACGGGCGTGAAACCGGTGGGGGTGCCAAGGCCTGGCCTGCGGCGGGGCCAGCCCCGCGGACACAGTCCCGCCAGGCGGGGCGCATCCAAAGACGGTGTGCGTGGGCCCCAACAGCCGCCGTCCAGACGAGAACACCGCACTTCCGCGTCTTCTGCGCGTGCCCGCACCACCAGGGCCCGTCCTGGACACCGCCGCGCGTCCGGCGGAGTTTCTGCCGCGCGGAAGCGCATCCGACCGCCGAATTCGAGAAGACGCGAGGGGTGTCCTCTTGCCCGGACCTTGGCCGCGGCGGTCTGAGCGCGGGGGCGGCGACCCTGGCGTACAGTAATGTCCGCGCGCTCACTCGCCAGGGCGGATGATACGAGGTTAGTCCACCGTGGCAAGGAACCGACGGGATCCTCCCCCGTGCGTTACGGCACTGGCTCGGGACGGGGCGGTGTCGGGGTCATCGCGATGCGGAGGGCTGGCACTGACGCACACCTTCCCAGCAGACGTCATCCGTCATTTGTTCGTGATCGTTGCCGCAGATGCTGAGGAGCGGGGACCGCGTGGAGGGGCGCAGCGACGGTGTCGGGGTCCCATCTGTGTATTTGACGACGTCGAACGTCGCATGTAGCCGCAGCCTCCATTCTAAAAATTTGCTGCTGTGCGCGTGCACGTCGATAAAACTTTCTCGGCGGAGCCGGGATGAGGGGTTCGAGCAATGATCAGAGGCCATGAGACTCACGGCAGACGCACACACAAAAACGCAAAACGTCGGGCAAAGCGGTGACAGGGTGAATTTTGTTTTGCGGACGCGATGGGACCAGTCAGGACACGCCGGCCCGCTCGGGTCATCGCGACCGACGAAAAAAAAAAGTACACATGGACGACGCTATTTCGACCAGCGCAGCGCACTCGCGACCAAAAAGCCTAGGTGGCGCGCCAAGTTTTGTCAGCGGCATCGTAATGGACTGCTCGGGCACAACGTACAGACTCCCAGTCCGGCGACGATGCGCTTGCCTACGACTGAGCCGGGCTGGTGCGCGCGGGACTGGTTGAGGGCATAGATTCCGACTCCACCGAGCGCAGCGGTGCCGATGACCCGGCACGCGAGGCAGTCCTGGGGCTGGCGGGGCTGCGACTGTCCGGAGGCCTGAGAAGGTGTGGGTTGTGACTCCAGCACGGACATGGTGAAGAGAGAGAAGCTGGGGGCCCCAGCAGAAACCAGGTGGGACGAGGTCGTCGCAGAACGCGTTGCACGCTCGGCACCTGCTGCCAGCGCTAAGCATACTGTACGCGCCAGCGCCAGTCCTATAATTTTAGACGCGCGTGTTCCTGCACCGACATCATCCAGACAAATGAAATCATGAAAAGAGAGAAGAAAAAAAAACGCTGAACAGAGTGCGAATAAGGGCTTGTTGTCCACACAAGCCAGCCGGCTGGCGCAAGTAGGCGTTCACGCGACTAAGAATCGCGCAGGTCTAGCCCCGCACGGTCATGTGGGCAGCCATCCGTCGCTCGTCTGGATCATCCCTCCGTCGCGGGTCTCTGCTCTGTCGCCCACCATCCGTCGGCTTGCCGTCTGCACCGCTTGAAGCAGCCATCCACCTCTGGGACAGACACACTGCGCTACGACACCCATGGCCTCCCGCGCTGCTGCTCGCCCCCTCCTCGCGTGCGCTCGTGTGCACCGCGTTCCCCACGTTTCGAGAGCATTCGCGACCGTCTCCGCAGCCAACCCGAACTACGTCAGCGTCGTCGAGGTCGGCCCGCGCGATGGCCTGCAGAACGAGAGGGCGGTCGTCCCGCCGGCCGTGAAGGCTGAGCTCATCACCCGGCTCGGGCGCGCGGGGATCAGGACCATCGAGGCGGGCAGCTTCGTCAGCCCAAAGTGGGTTCCCCAGGCGAGTTCTCCTCTTTGCCGTCGTGCGGGTTTCGCGGTCGTCTGAGCGAGCAGACCGGATGCGCTGAACTTGCTTGAGCAAAGTCGACGTTCGAGCTTCGTGGTGCTCGTTCCCCCCTGCTGTGAACCACCCTGGGTAACGCGCTCCGGCAATGATGTCGACCCAGTGATTGGCGTCCTTTGTGGCAGAACGTTTACTTCCCTGTGCCGGCGTCCTTGCTCAGTATCCCCGCATGGGCTCGGTCTTGTCCTGGCCCACGAGCCCTGTCCCACGAGCCCTACCCCCTCAGATCTATCGGAGACTTGAGCGGGCAAACGCATTACGCTGTCACATGTGGTCTTTGTCTGTGATGCGCTCCCCATGATCTCTCGATCACCGATTGCACGACCAATTTCGCAGGACACGAGCGTCTGACGAGCGCGTCTTTGTGCACGAGTCTCCGGACAGAACCTGCATTCCGTGGCCTGGGATATGCTGACATATGCTGACGCCGTCGTTCCGATATGTTGTAGATGGCAGGCACGAGTGAGGTGCTGTCGATGATGGAGCACGTCCCCGGCACCCACTACCCTGTCCTTGTCCCGAACATGAAGGGCCTCGATGATCTGCTCGCGTTGCTCGCCGCGGAAAACCCCCCAAAACACACGTCGTTACCACGGGACCCCCCTCTGACGGATGAGATTGCAATCTTCACCGCGGCCACCGACGCCTTCTGCAAGGCGAACACGAACTGCACCGTCGCAGAATCGCTGCAGCGGCTCGCTCCCGTGGCCGAGCGCGCCCTGAAAAAGGGTTTGCGCGTCCGAGGGTGCGATCTCTTCTCTTATTTCTCTCATTCTGACGCATACGGTCCTCATCGTATCATTCAGCTACATTAGCGTCGTCGTCGTGTGCCCGTACACAGGAAAGGTGGATTACAACAAGGTAAAAGAGGTCACGCGCGCGCTCCTCGACATGGGCTGCTACGAAGTCAGTCTGGGGGACACCGTTGGCGCCGGAACCCCCGGCAGCATCTGCGCGATGCTCGAGACGGTGATGGGCGGCGACGGCAAAGTCGCACCGACCAAGCTTGCCGTAAGTCCCGCTGTCCTTCGTGTCCCATGCGCCGGCGCTCACCCGTGCGACTAAGGCGCACTTCCACGACACGTACGGCTCCGGTGTCGCCAACGTCCTCGCCGCACTCGACATGGGCCTTCGCACCGTGGACACGGCGGTGGGCGGGCTCGGCGGATGCCCGTACTCGCCCGGAGCCACGGGAAACGTTGCGACCGAGGATGTGATCTACGCGCTGCGTGGCACTCATTACCAGACCGCGGGCGACCTGGACGCGCTTGCGCAAGTCGGCGGCTGGATCTCTGCCACGCTGGGCAAGAGGAACGAGAGCCGAGCAGGGAAGGCGATCCTGGCTCGCTTGGAGCGCGAGCGCACCATAAAAGAACGGGAGAGAGACGGAGGAGCCGCTGAGAGCTTGGCGGCAAAGTTGTAAACTGTATCTGGTCCCTGTCTGGCGCAACCTACTCTATCTCTTTCTATCAGCTGCTTTGTCAAATCGTTCGGCAATCGCTCTCCAGTTCGCAATGGACTATCCTCACGCTTTGTACAAACATCCTAGCCAGCTTGCTTTGGGAAATGTAGTTGTATCTCGTAGGCCGCTCTTTCTAGTACATGTACTTGTAGTATCGACACATCAACCTTGACTTTCTTCGCCTCCGTACGCGTTACTCTTGTGTTTCGGTGTGAACGTCCACGATTCGGGAGCGGGGCCCAAGAACATCTCGGAGATTCGCACCCAATCTCTACTGTCTGGGCTGGCCAGTAGTGTTTCTGTGAAACAGTTGTCAGACACCAAAAGGGATAAAAGCTAGCCAACCGTACCCAGTTCGTCTCGCCCGCGGAAGGAGGGTGCACGATCGTTGAGACGTCCGGGCAGCGTTTCCAACAAGCCGATAGGTATATAGCGGTACTGAAACGATAGGGCTTCACAGAGGTACCGTCGCGTAGTGTTGACGCCTGCTGTGTCTGAACCAAAATGACTGGAGACTTGTCAATATCGACTCAAAAAGATCAGTAACAGGACCAGAGGTCGTACTTCAACCCATACTCTGCATACTGCACGACGGTCATAAGCACGGGGGCTACACATCGAGAAGGGCGTTTACTTACTCTTCTCACCAGCTCGAGACGCTCCCGAGAACTGATGTCCCATTCCCTGCGCTCCTTGACTTCGGTGAAGATCCAAGGCTTGATCAGTGCCCCACGACCGATCATGATCCCGTCGACGCCGCTCTCCATCTTTTGCCAGTAGTCTTGCGAGGAGAAGCAGTCCCCACCGCCAAAAATGGGCACCGGGGGAACTGTGTGATACACGAATGAATGGTCCAGCCGATAACCAGCAGATCGGAAATAGAGAAGACCCACGATCTTCTTCGGCCTCCCGAGATCGGACGGCCTCGACGCAAAGCTTGATATAGTCCCAGTCTGCGAGCTTTGTATATCGCTGCTGTCGCGTCCGGCCATGCAGCTGTGGAATGGTAGTGAGATGACAAGTCGAGACACAGTAGATCCGGGTCGTACAGTGAGTGCAGACGCTCCAAACTCCGTGGACAGGCGGGGCATGAGCTTATGCGCGTTATTCCGCCCGTCTTTTACTCCCGTTCGCAGCTTCACCGTGACGGGAATGTCGCCCAGGGCCTTGTTCATGCCGACGACAATCTTGCCCAGCTTTCCTGCCGCATCCAACACTGTAGGACATTGTCCAGCGGGTCAGTGCTCTCCCCATCGCAGACGGTGAGTGCACAAGCACGTACATGCTGAGCCGCTTCCCTGCTTGTACACGAGATCGATCGGGCACCCGCAGTTGACGTCGACGAAATCGAGGTTGCCCGCGCACTCGCGTGCGATGATCTCTGCGGCAGGAACCAGGAGTGACGGCTTGCTTCCGGCCACTTGCACCCCGAATATTGACTCAGATGGATGTCGTCGCACGAGCGACCACTCCTCTTTGGATCCCTGTAGAAAAGAAACCGCGAGGCCCACTGCAGCAGCAAAAGGTCACTCAAGGGGCCACCAAGGGGCATTCTCGTGGCAGTATACTCACTCTCTCCGCATGTTATATCAACGCCATAGTCGACGCAAAGGCGGCGGAACGGCTGGGAGGCTGTTGTGAGTCATGTTGACTGGCTACGAGTACACACCCACCAAATTCCCGACAGTGGTGAGCGGCGCAAGATCTAACGAGATAGAGTTAATCAAGGGGAGCAAGACTAGACCATGTGCGACTTGCAAGTCTTTCCAGACCAATGCAGTCGCTTTTTCTCGGCGAAGCGCATGGGAACATCCGGAGAGTCATCTTGAGACTCGTCTCGTTTTGACTGAGCAGCGCCGGGTGTCTCCGATCCTTCGCCTAGCGAACCAGGAACCTCTGGCTGATCTGTGGTCGCTTTAGCCTTGTCGTCGTCGCCCGCGGCTTGCAGCTCTCGTAAGTAGGAATCCGCAATCGGATGCGGATACTGCAGCAACCTGCATGTTATAGATGCACTGGTATAAGTAAGCACTACATACCTTTTTAGTCCGGATGAGCTTGAATGCCTCCGAATGAATGGAATTGAGCTCAGTCTCCATAGACGCAGCACGGGCCTTCTTTTCCTCATCCGTGGTCAACTCCAAAACGCCGTCTTCGTTCTTACGGGAATGGCCACCCAAAAACCGACATTTAAGGCCTTGCTTACATTCCCCACAACGCGCATAAACGGGGCATACTGTAGACGAGTCAACGGACGAATTGTTGTTCTCACTCATCTCCGCATCCGGCGGAGGTTTTACAAATGGCGGAGAGTCGCTCAGGTCCTCGGGGGAGGGAAAGCGGATGTCTCGTAGCTTTGCGGAAAGATACGTTGCAACATCGTGTGTGAAGCGGCATCTGGCAACATCGACTGGTACCTCGCTCGCTGCATACCAACGAAATGCACGTACTCATCGCCAAACTCGCACGTCCGGCCGCTAGCGACCCTCCAACACAGCTCGACCTCATCGTGCACTCTCTGGAATCTCCTTCCTTTATTCGCACCTCGTTTGTTCTTTTTGTCCTTGTAAGATTTCTTCCGCTGGGCACCGGAGGTGTCTGCGGTAGCTTCGGAGTCGATGGTTGCCAGGCTGTTTTCGCCTCTGCGACCATCTGCATGGTTTGTGCTTCCTTCGGCTGCATCGTCGTCTGGAATGTCTCGCGAAACGAAGGACACAAGAAACCTGGTGGAATATGTAGATGGTAAGCTTTCATGGGCACGGGACACGTACTCTGGTTTGATCGGGGCTGTCCCTGGCGGGAGGATGCGGGTGGTCATTCCTGCGATGATATAGGGAGATCCGCAAACTTGTGTGATGCAGTACAAGTGCAGTCCGAGTCAATAGTGAATCGATGTGACTTGAGTGTTGCTTGCGGGTAAATGTAAGGAAAAATGACGTCGATTAGATTAGATGCACCCTATATGGGGGGACTCAGTATTTATCTGACAGATTACCCCTTCTATGCCTGAGATAAGATGGAAGCTGGCTGGAAATCCTTCTTTACTCCATCCTTTTCCGAATTCACGCAGTACTATAATGCATTAATGTATGCACAGACGCCAAACGGCCGGTGGTCGGAACGCGGGCACGCCATTTATACTGGACCCATGCCCGCATTGTTACAGCAACCACGGACTGCGGCCGGAAACAACCAGAGAAAGCGCATACAAAGATGCCAGGAATCTCAAGCGAGATGATGGCACCAATAAAACATATAAATATACCAAAAACACACAAGGCGAATATACATGCGTTACATTGGCACTATTGGGGCACTGCCCTTCTCCATTGCCGTCCTCAAGCTGTAGTACAATATATTAATAAAGTTATCAGGATGGCGAAACTGGTCAAGCTGCCATACCTATAATCATCACCATTCTGTGTAATGTAACGTACCCATGGGAGTGCTTGGTATCCGCTCTTTTCTACTATCTTTAGATACCGAACTTGAATGCCGGAAACCGTAAAGTATGGTATCTCAAACTTGACAGTTATTGGCGCACGCTTATCCATACTGTCTTGTTCTGTACAAATTGTTATGGAATTGGTAGAGTTAATGCAAGGTCATTCAACCATGGCGATTGATAGAGCAAGCATATTCGGTCATAGTCAGTGAGATGAGAACAAGTCGTGATCAAATGACATACCTCCTCGGACACTGGGTAGTCCAAAATGTGCACGCATAAGGAACTCGCGCGCTCCGCCCAGCTGCTTTATTTTCCAAACAAACGCGCTCTTGTCTGGGGCATATTGTACAGTACCTGTTGAGGCCTACCATGGTCAACAATGAGAATTATGCCCAATGTTAGAGAAAGAACGAGTGCAAAACTTACTCGGAATTTTGGTGTGTCCGCATCATCTGGAACGGGGACGTAGATCTCTACATTGTTGGCAGTACTTCGCCGTTTGAACTGTGCCTTGACTTTCACCATATACTCAACTCGACTACCCTTGTGATGCTCAACCTAAAGCCGCACCACTTAGGACACTCGTAGAAACGGAGAAAGTGTTTCCTATTAGGAGGCATGACGTACCGCAGCTTCGACCCACACTAACGGCTTTACCGGGGTAGACAATCGGTAGCTCATAAGCTCGAATTCACCGTCAGGGGGGATGAACGAGATGGTACGGTCATTTTCGAAGCGAGAGAGTCGTACGCATTGGTGGAACTTGACGTCTTCCATTTCAATCGCCTTTCCTCGCGCAGCTACGTATCCCGGTCAGCATAAATCTCAAGTCAATATTTGCTCTGAAAAGCAATATTGAAACCGCCTCGCCGACTCAGTACATCGAGGAGGCCAGCTACAAAAATCAAGCACAAGGATGGACTTACTTCTTCCTGTTGTTTCAAACATAACCTTGTCATTGAGACCTAATCGCAACTCGGGCATCCCGGAGAGATAACACTTCATTTTGACGGCGCCGAGGATTTCAGAGCGCACGACGTTGCCGTTTGCGTTGACCTACAAACAATATCAGCAGCTCAGTAACAGTAATCACAAATATACAATGTGTATAATGGAACTCACGAGCAAATTTACGCTCTCGATTACGTCCAGGAACACCTCGTTCTTCCGATATCGGATACCCTCCGATCGCCAGGAAACCGCATTCGTGACCGCTATTGGTGGGCGTACTTGCACCTCGAGTTTGTATGATTCTTGTGTGATATATCTGTGGAGGTAATGGGATGAGCTGTTATGATAGACAAGTATAAGACATACTCTTGTAGGATTTTGCTTTCGGTCGTTTGAGGATACCCGAAGTCCATCATCTCATCCAACAACTCATAAATGATCACAAAGTTATCGCGAATAGACTCCTCCTCAAGTTCTTTGAAGTACTCGATCAAGACTTGGACTAGACGGTGGAGAAATAATATGATCTCTGCGGCATTGCTGTTCCGTTTTGACAACGCCAACACTGAATGCGAACCAATGCGCCGATGGTAGGTCAGTACTTCTGCATACCTTAGCACCAACAGACGCACAGTACAGGTTCGAATGTCGTATATGCATGTAGTTGATACCCTCCTTAGTGAAACATGGCGTGACTTGCTGGCCCTCCTCCTCCAAGTCGAGGACAATTGGGAGGAACCGCTCGATGTATGACGATGGAACATCGTCACGGTAAGATCGCTGGATGAGAGGCTTCCCCTTGAGGTCAAGGATCGCAATGAGACTGGCCATGATGGATCACGGATAGAGAGCCGTCCCAAAAGCTCCGCTACAGCCAAGCTCCAAGCTGAGGATATGGAAGGCTAATGAAGTCAGATAGCCGTCGCGATGAATGATGCGCTTACAAGCGAGACGCCACGGGTTTGTTGATTCCGTTTCAGTTTGTATTCAAGTTCTAACACACATATGTACATAAGTATTGATCCGCAATAGAAGATTACAAAATGAGGTAAGTGTTCTCAAGTGCTGTACTTTATTAACGAGCCAGAATTCGATTTCGAAGACAGGTCTAGGGACAAGACTAAAACCCGTATAACATACTAGAGCAAGCGTATCGAGCATGGCGTCGGCCCCAACAGCAATAAAGTAAAGAGGTATAGTGACCACGGGGACAAGGTCGCCGGGCCCATTGGAGGCTATGCTCAATCGCTATAATATGCCAGATAGTATATCCTCAGGCTAGAGAGGCACAGATATTACGGCCCGTGAGCCGGTGCACAATGCTACATCCATTTCTTGATCCAACTAAACCACCCCTCCCCAGAGTTACTATTGCCTCCTTTCACTGCGAGTAAAGGCGTTGCTTCGTTCGCCTCTTCGGCAGCAATATCAGCCAGAGCATCGTTCTCTCTCGCCGCTTCGATCACGGTATTCACTGGGACGCCCTGCTCCGGACCTTCGATAACCAACGCAGGGGAGTCCACACCTAGTGCCGGCGACGGGTCGAGAGGATTTCCGAAGTCATCTATGCCCAGACGATGCTGGCGTGCGCGCCATAGCAGACACATCACGAGGAGTGAGCCCTGCATTGCGCCGGCTACGGCATATGGGAGCCATGCTACACGGCATTCAGCACACAATATGAATCTGTAGAATGACGAAAGAGAACCCACTAGTCCAGTTTGTGCCTGGCCTGCTCACAGCAAGTCAACCATGTCGCAGACTGAGATGAACAGGAAAACTCTACCTTAATGCAATGCTGAGGACCATGAACACTGCGCCAGGGCTTTGAATGAGCATCATGGGGATGCTAAGAGCTCCGACAAGCCTCAGCTTATACGTGTGTATAAGCTGCGGAGCATACTGCATCCCAGCCAGTAGCGCAGAGGCAACCCCGAGGAATGTTGCCCATATGGATATCTGTGTTGAATGCCTGGAAGAATCTGGGACTGGACTGGACGAGAGGAGTAAGAATGTGACGAATGTGATTAGCATACTGGATCCGTCTGCAACGTCAGTAAAATCAGGAGCAGGTATTGTCAGAACCAGACGCACATGTGGAAAAGAACTACCCAGGAAAGAATGATTGAGAGTCGCCATTCGTCGCTCTTGACAGCCGTCTTGATGCGATGAGGGGGACGGCTGTCGTGTAGATCTAGATTCACCTCCGCGTATTTGAGATGTGTGGGGTAATAGACCATATACAACACTAGACTAGGCGAATGCAGTTGAACGCAATGCGATACTTGAACAATAAAAAGTCTCACATTAGGGTAAACATAAACCATTGGAGCGAGAGCTGGAAGACTCCCGCGATTGATTCAACACAGCTCCCAATGCTCTAATACCGAGCAAAGTATGTGCACTGGCGCCAATTGGCATCGAATAATACGCAAAAACTCACCAGAACTCGACAGCACTTGATAATCCCCCACTGCATCACAATTCTGCGGATACTTACATCAGTAGATACATAAAACGCCAGGCTGCGAGAACATGCACATGTTAAGCATGCCTGACGCTGAAGACGTGCTTCCCAGCAGAAGGAACCATGGGCTAAATCCCTCTGAAGAGCCTGCCTTGATGATACGCAGGTGCTACATCCCGACTTAGCCCGACAATCTGACAGAGTTTCTGGAGACGAAAGGACATACTTGTGGTAAATAGGAGATGACGAGTCCAATGCAGAGAAGGGCTGTTAGGACATTGGCTGTATAATCATGATGCTTAAATGATGCATGCATGAGCGAAAGATATACGTGCGTGGCTATAAAACATACTGCCTCGCAACCCTCCAACATACTGAACCGGAATAGGGCTGCTACTAGCCTCGAGCTTCGAACGCGCGCTCTTGACGCGCGTCTTAGTTTAAGTACTCTAGTACACGGATACACGGTCAGGTGATCTTGATTGTGGCGAGAATGAATTTTGAAACTGTCCTCTGCAGTCCTCCTAGTTTCATTCTATACAGATGTGCCTGTTACCTTATGACTATAATCTAGCTAGACTGTCTAGGAACGCAAAGAGGCTGATTAAAATTCCCACTAAGAGTTCACTCGCGAAGCCATGTCGCACTCAATATGATACAAGATTCCTACATTCACTAATCGATCCCCGTGTATTGAGCATCCAGCCTCAGTCACCATGACATGAACTAGATAACCTTCTTTACTACTCTTGATTTTCTAGGAATCCAACGCCCATATTTCGTATCTTGGTCAAGAACGACTCATACCACTTGGCTACGACTGCGAGAGGAACGAGACTCTCAGGCGTCATGGGTGCACCACCCGCGAAACCTGATACGTAGTTGAAAAGATGCCTGACTATCCGCTCCGCGAGCAGCATGGCATCTGTTTGCGGACTGCGACTGGCCGGTCGTCCCACAGCAGAGGGGAGATTGGCCATCTCAGCCTCAATGGTTTGCAGGGGCTCGATGGCGATTCCGAGAATGGCTGTTACGTCTGTCAGACCGGTCGCAGAGTTGCCGAGGGTCCCGTCGGAGAATAAGGCGGTATGGGAGGATTGCGCGGAGAACGTGCCGCGCAAGCGAAAAATCGCTGAGGGCTTTTCACCTGAGAGCCTGCACGCAGCAGATGGATCAGATTGCGGCGGCAAACGGGGCAAAGATGTTACGTACATTCCGAGAAGCTGAAAGCCCTTGCCAGGCCAGTGAAGGTGGACAGTTGCGCCGTAGCCATCCGGGAAGGCGACTGTTTGCACGTCTGGAGAGGGTCGGATGGGGAGGAGAGGAATGGGCGCACCTGTTCCCAGGAGAAAGACACAAATATGGTTGATGGTGCTTGCTTGGGGCAGCTCAAAGAGGGCATGGGTCTCGTCGACTAGGTGGAGGTTAGTTTGGAGCAGACGGCCGGCGACACAGCAGCCAAACATGACGGAGATCGGATGGAAGAGAAAGGGCAGGAGGCGGGGGATGTTCCGAGGACTGAAGAGGACATCGCGGTGTTCGAGGACATTCGAGGACGCTGTGGCCTGCGTTGGCCGTGATCCTCGCGCCCAAGCGGGCCATTTGCCTGGACTGCGACGCCCTCGACGCCCGCGGTTACCCCACGAGAGAGATCAACGGCAAGCATGGCAAGCGAACATCCCGTCCGAGTCCATTTCGCCTCTCGTCGGCGGCTCTCCGTATCCTCGACTGCCTCCGCCTGCAGCGCGTCTTCTGCCTGCTCAAAACCCCGGCCCTCCTTAGGCGCTAGGCCATGTTCAGGCTCGCCTTTCCTCCTCTCTCGCCGTCACACTCCATCCGCATACCCCGCAGACACTTCCACATTCGTCCTCCCGCCATGCGCCAGCTCACATCCGCTGATCTCAATCCCGCCGTTCTTAACGTGCAGTACGCCGTCCGCGGGGAGCTTGCCATCAAGGCAGACGAGCTGAACGAAAAGCTCAAGTCCCAGGAGCACAAGGACACCCTTCCTTTCAAAAAGGTCATCAACAGCAACATCGGAAACCCACAGCAAAAGGGTCTTGATCAACCTCCTATCACCTTCACGAGGCAGGTAAGCCTCATCGTTCGAGTTGTGTGCACTCCCTATCCTCTTAGGAGGCAGCGCCATCGTGATTCTCGTCGGGCATGCACTCGTCAGATCCGATCCCAGTCCCCCCTTTGTCACATCTAGGAGGGTGGCTCATCTGCCCCTCATCTGTTCCCAGGTCGCGGCCCTGATGGAATACCCCCCATTAGTCGATCTCGTGAAGGACAAGTGGCCTTCCGATGTGATTGCTAGGGCGCAACAATTGCACAGCGAAATTGGCTCGGTTGGCGCGTATTCGCATAGTAAGGGCATACCCCTCATCCGGAAGCACGTCGCGCAGTTCATCTCTGGTTCGTCTTCAGCTTATGGGTTATACACAAATCCTGACGTAATTTGACAGAGCGTGACGGATATCCGAGTGATCCAGAAGATATCTTTCTCACTGCCGGCGCATCCGCAGGTGTCTCGCTGCTATTGAATGTGCTGATCACGCCCAATCGGACAGGTATCCTCATTCCTATCCCGCAATACCCACTGTATACCGCAACACTCGCACAATTTTCTGGTGTCGCCCTTCCTTATCACCTTTCCGAGCTCGATGGGTGGTCTACTTCACTCACCGAAATCCGCACAGCTCTTGCAAAGACTGAGTCTCAAAGTGAGGGCCAGAAGGTCACGCCACGCGCACTTGTGGTCATCAACCCCGGTAACCCCACCGGTGCTCTGTTAGACGTACAGACGATGGAGGAGCTGGTTAAGCTCTGTGAGGAACACTCGCTCGTACTTCTTGCAGACGAAGTCTACCAAGAAAATCTCCATAGGCGCGACGCGCACCCATTCCATTCCTTCAAGCAGGTCGTCCGACGTCTGAACTCTCCCATCCAGCTCATCTCCTTCCACTCTATATCGAAAGGTGTGTTCGGCGAGTGTGGTCGCCGTGGCGGATATTTCGAATGTTGTAACATCTCACACGATGTGCGCGCTCTACTCTACAAGATGGTCAGCGTCGGCCTCTGTCCTCCGCTCTCCGGACAGGTTGGCGTGGACTGCCTGGTCCGTCCACCTAAGGCAGGCGAGCCCTCGCACTCGCTCTGGAAGCAAGAGACGGACGCGATACACGCTGCACTCGCGCATCGCACGCAGCTCATGGCCGCTCGACTCAATGCGCTCCCTGGTGTGTCGTGTGTAGACTCGCCCGGCGCATTGTATCTCTACCCGAAGTTGGAGCTCCCACCTAACGCTGTGGAGGCTGCTCGCAAGCTAGGCAAGGATGCCGATACACTGTACGCGTTGGAATTGCTGGAAGCCACCGGAATCTGTGTCGTCCCTGGAAGTGGATTTGGACAGAAGGATGGTGAACATCACTACCGGCTAACTTGTCTCTGTCCTGGAGTGGAAGAGTATGTTGGTATGCTTGAAAACTTCCACACCCAGTTTCTGCAGAAGTATGGTGGCATGCAATGAAAATGTGAGATCCTGTTCTACAGATGTAGTCTGATGACACTTCGTATACATTACATTCTAGCGGGTATTTCGAGTGCACTGAAGGTCGTATACACGTACAGAATGCGACGGAAAGGTTTTCCAAGACAATAAGATGTATGAGCAAATCTTAACGAAATGCCATAGAAAAATACTGATTGAGCACAACACCTATACACTGCCAAGGCGATAAATAACTGCGCCATGTCATGGTGCCTGCATGAAGTCGTCCACAAGATTCGTGTAACACTCAACACATCAAAGGCTACATAGGGCTGCCAGGGGGGATGAGGGCAGATCCTAAGGAAGAGGTAGAAAAATGCGAATGACCTCCTGATGAGTGGGAAGAGAGCGATGACGCGCGGCTCAACGTAGTCCTTGGAACAGACAATGATTGAGCACTTTGCCAGTCTTGCCCAGCATGCCACGTCAACACGTCATGAGATTGCTGATTCGACGAAACGCCCGGATCCGAATTCATGGAAAGGACGATTTGCGAAGCGGCTTGTCCTTGACCATCGTGGTGGCCACAACAAGGCGCGCGTTCGCCTGACGTCGCGAATGTAAGAGTTCTATCCGCCTCGTCGTGCCTACACTCAGAGCACGAACAACCTTGACAGCAGCCGCAACAATCCGCTGCGCATGCGCAAAATCCCGCCGGACATGTGCAACGGCCTCCACAGCATTCTCCAGGAGCAGCCTGCGCAAAACCAGTGTCATGCAAATTACTCCATAATGCATATGTCTGCAGCATGCTAGGATCGTATTGCACGTCAGATGAGGGTGGCGTTGATATTGGAAGAGGTAGCTGATTCGGGCTTCGAGGCGACGAGGAAAGGGGTGGCGACTGAGATGTCGAGGGGAGCGTGATGTCAGTCATTTGACGGAGCCATTCATCAATGTTCTGCAGCGGTGGGAGATTAAGTGATGCATTGTCGAGTGGGATAGTCTCGGGGAGGGAAAGCATAGCACAGTCCAGACAACTCATGCATGTGTGTGGATTCGAACATGCAGCAGTGGGATCAACATTCCGCCCGCGGTGTTCCATGCAGCCTGGACAGGTACAAGACGGGCCACATCCACACGAACCGGGGGAGATGGGCGCAACCTGAGCTTGGGCGGTAAGCGTAGAAATCCAGGAAGACATGGGAGGGACAGTCGTATTCACGTCGGGGGATGAGGTGAATGACAAAGGAGATTCATCTGCCTGGAATGTGGATGATACATGGGACGCCGTAAATTCCGGACCATGAGCATATTCGTATGCCCTTCCATAGGGACTAAAAAACATTTGCCCATGATGGGACTGATGGCGAGAGGCAGGCCCTTTTGAAGAGGACGCATCTGAAGGATATTCCAAAGTAGGCGATTGCTGTTGAGAGAGGGAAGGTCTCGGAAGAACAGGTCGATAGTCTCCCGAATGTGCGTCGACAACAAGCCCGGCAGGTTGTGTTAATTGGGGACCTGTCTCCGGAGTACTTGAACTCCCCGCACTCCCACGGCGCTCGCGATGGGTAGGAGCTTTGCGCTTAGGTCGAGGAGGGCGAACTGTCCAACAGTCACAGGAACCAGTATCCTTGCAAGAACACGATATCGGCGAGGCGTGGCCTGAGGCAAGTCAGCCGAGTGGGAAAGAAAAGCATAACGTAACGCACCACTGTGCTCTGAATCAGAATGGTCGGTAGAAGGCTGCAATGCGACCGACGCTTCCAGCTCTTCAGGTAACCCGCTGGGAAACGCGGCGCAAGCTGGAACCTTGACACTACCTAGAGAAGGAGAAGGGGAGGGCCTTGTTCGTCAGCCCAGCGCCAGCGCCTGGAACGCTATGCGACACTCACCTTTCTTCATGGTGCTATCTCCATATTCCTTAACTGAGCACATACATTTAACATGTACTTGTTTGGTTTTGCGAAGCTCCCTACAGTGCTCACACTGCGTGACGGGACGGCCCTTCTTCTTGATTTCAAACAAAGGCCTATCGGTGTGTTTACATGTGGATGACCGATGACCTTTGATACATGTTTCGCTAGTCATAATTAGGACCTCACAGTCCTAATACAGAAAATGAAGTGCAACTAACCAGGCGTATTTCTTCTCACCAACGAACACCTCAAGACGGATGATAAATAAGCAGCGGTTAGAGGTAAATTGGTAGATGAACCGCACCATAGCTGATATTGAGCTGGCGGAAACGCAACGGCGATCGAGAGAGACAGGAAAAGGGTGAAAAACAGAGTCGCCCCAGACGGAGAGTGGAGGCACTCTCGTGCGCCCGTGACGCTCAAACTCGCGTTATTGGAACACGAAGGGGACCTCCGAAAGCTGCTGTTCGTGGTACAACAACATAAGCAACAAGTTGGGGGATGAATGCGAAGTTGGAAAGGGAGGGTGGCAGACAGATATAACGGAGGACATCGCCACTGGGCCACAACAAGACCAAACTCGGACCCCCGGATCGGGCTGCTCGTCACAGTGCGTGACAAACGCGACGACGTCGCAAGCGCTCGAGTCGCGAAATTAACGCTGCGAGAAGAATCGGAGGCGATGCAAGCGGCGGAGACACCGTGCGCTGGCCCCTGGGGCGTGCACTAACGTCTGATCCAGTCGCGAGGCAGGACTCGTCTTTCTAATTGGCAACGTTCTGCTAGACCAACGACTGCCCAAACGTGTGCGGCACGGATGCTGAACAGCCTCACCTCATGGCGGGAGGTAGAACATCGCGAGATTTCGAAGACGAGAGAGTTCGACTCAATGTACATGCTTCTCGGATGGTCCGAGCCACCACCGTTCTGCATTCGAGCCGTTGACCAGAAGATTCCAATCGTGGATTGGCCCAAGCTGCGTGATTAGTATCATTTCAGTACACCGTTTCGGAGCAAGGACTCGGGTCCTGAAGCCGCAGGCACGTGATCCCTGATCGCACCGAAAAAAAGTTGCCGCCGTGTCTTCTAGCAGAAATCCAAAGTCCACACTACTGATCCTAGTCTTGCCTCGCGTGAGCATTGTTCTTCTTATCGCACGTTTCGCTATCGCTCTCCTGGCATGCCAGACTCGTTCTTCTCCGCGTCTAAGACGCGCAAACGCAAGCGATCCACCGGCGAGCACGGAACAGTGCATGGGACCAGGTCCAGGAGAGGCTCGGCCGCCCGCACAAAATCGAAACTTGGTTCCGCGTCGGTCTCAAAGAGGAGAGGAGACGAAGAGTTATCTGATGCAACCCAAGAAGAAGATAATGCTGTCGGCATAGACGAGTTAGATTTGAGAGCACCGGACGTCGTTCCTGATGTGTACGAGAGCGGCGAAGAAGATGATGAAGAAACACCAGCCGAGAAACGACTGCGCTTGGCCAAGCTGTATCTGGATGATGTTAAGCAGGACCTTGGATTAGGTATTCTACACTCCGTTCTGTCGCATTTATTACTGACACGACAACTTCCTGCATACAGCGGAAGGAGAGTTCGACGCAGCAGAAATCGATAGAGAACTTATTTCCGCTCGGTTGAAGCAAGATGTGATGGAACACTCTGGGAAAGTTCATCTGTTTGTCGCGGATATCGTGCGTCTACTATACTCATTCCTACTGTGCGGCCATCTCATGGACTTCCTCTAACTTTAGTTTAACCTTGAGCAACCACCATGTCTTCGCACTCGTGGTCACCGATTCTCCGTGACTACGGCTGTCGCTTCGTCAGACACGTGTTGGCTCTTTACTGCAGGCAAGGAAGGATCCATTATCAAGTGGAACTTACATACTGGCCGCAAGTCTCACGTTTTCTCGAAATGCCGCCCTGAGAAGGGTAAGGGTAAGGCAGCCGAAAATGTAGCTGGCCACACGGATGAAGTGTGGGCACTCGCAGTGAGTATGGATGGCAGATATCTCGCAAGTGGTGGGAAAGATAGGCGCGTCGGTATATGGAATGTGGAGAGTAACGAGTGGATCAAAGGCTTTGCAGATCATCGAGATTCTATTTCTGTAAGTCCCGAATTTCTGCCTGTCCTCGTTTCTTCCAGGACCATAATCAACCTGAGGTACTTAGTCGCTGGCTTTCCGCAAAGCCTCCCCTAGTGCATCTTCCTCAACACAGCTATATTCGGGTTCCTTTGATCGCACTCTAAAGCTGTTTGATCTTACCTCTATGGGTTATGTGGAAACACTGTTTGGACATCAAGCTCCCGTGTTGTCTCTTGACACGCTTCGGAACGAGACAGCGGTAAGTTCAGGTGGACGGGACAAGACAGTGCGATACTGGAAGATCCCGGAAGAGACTCAGCTCGTCTTTAGGGGCGGTGGAGGGAGTCAATGGTCAGATGCACTAGATGGGATAGAGGTGGATTCGGACGGAGCTGAGACCTCAGCGAATGCGATCACACGGAAGAGAAAAGGAAAGGCGACCGATCCGACAAGCGTGAAGTTTGTGGAAGGGAGTATTGAATGCGTAGCAATGATTGACGAAACCACATTTGTAAGTGGTGGTGACAGTGGGTATGTCATATGTTATCTGAATTCGTATCGTTAGACTGACGACAGAGGCATAGGTCGATCAGTTTATGGTTGACCCAAAAGAAAAAGCCGGTGTATACCCAGGCACTGGCGCATGGAATAGATGAGTCGCAAGTAGACACGGAGGATGTAGAGACAGTTCGAAAACCGCGATGGGTAACTGCGATTAGCAGTCTACGATATTCGGATTTGTTTGCTTCCGGTAAGTCGTTTCTATAGGTCAAGGTCCGCAATTGGTGATAGGGTGGTGAACCTTAGGATCATGGGATGGAGAGATCCGTTTATGGAAGCTTGACTCAAAACTGAAGTCGTTCTCTCTCGCGGGTAGCGTATCCGCTCGAGGCGTGATAAATTCATTGCAATTCGTCACACCTTCGATGGAGTGGTTCGATACAGCTGAATGGGCGCGCCCATCCGATCGTGTTCCCGGGAAGCAACAATCCAAAGCCCTATCAGTTTTGATGATTGCTGGTATTGGGCAGGAAACGCGGTTCGGAAGATGGGTCCAACAGAAGGGGGAGGGAGTATTGAATGGTGCTCTGGTTGTTGCATTGCATTGTCGGACATGAGCCATTATGGTACGATTTTGTATCGAAAGCATCAGCTAACGATATATCTTTGCAATATACTGAGGGATGTAGTTGATCAATAAATGCTTCAAAATGGAACACTACTACGTCTGCTCTGAGTCTCCGTGTGCACATTGCGTGTACCATTACACCAGAACGACGCATGGCCAGCCCCGCGACAAATATGCAACTCACAGGGAAGTATTCCGAAATAGTGGGATTGCCACTGGTAGCGGAATGAACCTGCATGCAAACCCTCCGGCTCTTTCTTTGAACGTAGCCGGAGTGCTGCTGCGTCAGCAGCATCGGCCAAGGCTGTGGAAGCCCATACTATGCGTTGATCCTCCGTTACTACGTCCGACAGGTAAACTATAAAGTTCGGACATATGGGAACCTATCCCCACACCCTGGACACTTCCATCGGCATTACTGACGACTGGTCGCAATCACATAATATTTGCCGCACCATACTGTAAAGTCACACGTACTAGCCTTGACACAGGCGTCCTTGACGCTCTCAACCTTTAAGGAAACCGAAGAGCCCTCGGGGTTCACACAAATCCGCCTTCCATGTCTCTCCTGCGTCCAACCTTGGTTGCATTGCGCGCCTCGTCCACCTCAACATCCATACCATCTTCCCGTCTATCTGTCTACTTCAGGCATATGGCCACAGTGACTTCACAGTATCAGAACATCCTCACCTCGCGCCCTGCGGACGGGGTGGCGTTGATCACACTCAACCGCCCAAAGGCGCTCAATGCACTGTCTTCCCCACTTTACGAGGAGCTCAACCACGCGCTGGCCTCCTTCGATGCCGATGAGGGGATAAGGGCCATGGTTATTACAGGCAGTGAGAAGGCGTTTGCTGGTAAGTGGACCTCCGTAACTTAGGAGTCGAACGTCCTGCCAACGGAGTCCATTTTGCAGCGGGGGCGGATATTAAAGAGATGAAGGATAAGGACTGTGAGTAGTGGTGCTGTGACTCATTATTTCACTGAAACACTTTTCCCTCGATCGTAGTTTCAGACGCGTTCAAGAACAGATTTCTTGAAAACTGGGCCCTGTTATCACAGATTCGCAAGCCCATCATTGCCGCAGTTAGTGGCTACGCGGTACGCCTTCGGCTGTGACTTATATATCTGAGCCGGAGCACTCATTTATTGCGTAGCTTGGTGGAGGATGTGAGCTAGCCATGATGTGTGACATCATTCTGGCTTCGCCAACGGCGGTCTTCGGTCAGCCTGAAATCAATCTTGGGGTAATCCCTGGCGGAGGTGGTACTCAGGTATGTTTGGCACCCTTCACGCACGCTGATCTCTGGATTTTTTGAACTCGTATTGAAACGTATATACAGCGAATCGCTCGCGTAGCCGGCAAATCGATTGCGATGGAACTCACCCTCACCGGTCGTAATTTCACTGCCGCCGAAGCGGTGTCGTGGGGGCTTGTATCGCGTATCTCCGATAAGGTATTGGACGATGCTCTTGCTATGGCTACAACGATAGCGTCGAAGAGCGCCATTGCTGTCCAGGCAGGCAAGGAGGCTGTCAACGTGGCGTATGAGACATCGCTGACTGAAGGTCTGAGATATGAGAGGCGAATCTTCCATGGTCTATTTGCTACTCGAGACCAGAAAGAAGGTGAGCGAAAAATGAGACATCTACGACTCTTAGGTGCTCATGGTGGACATCTAGGCATGGCCGCATTCGCGGAGAAGAGAAAGGCGACTTGGTCGCACTCTTAGAGGATTGCACGTTGCATGGCGAAGAGTACTGACGGCTGCGAAGGCATATGTGCTGCACCCTACAGACGTGGGCAGTTGGGTGCATTTTGTAGTTTTCAATATAAGATGGATGATACCAGGTGGCTGCGGTCGGATAGGATTGTGGAACGCTAAAGAGAATCTTTGATATTACCCACAATTCGCGCCTTCTACTCTAGCTATCGGAAATTCGATCACCAGATCATTCGTCAACGATTTTACAGCTTGGATTTATGAATCTCAGACTTCGGCATGAAAAGTTTGGCCAAGCCATCCCGCGTCGCACTGCCCATAGCTGCACTCTTCCTGCTCTCCCTGTCTACGAACACATGAGTGTATCCACCGACTGCACTTGGAGCGTCTTCGCCATCTTTGAATACCCCTACTTCGTAAGTAACTGAGCTGGTACCGAGCTTATTCACTCGCAAGCCGAGTCCAACGACAGATGGGAAGGATAAAGGGGAGAAGAAATGACAGGTGGAAGACACGACGAGGCCAATGAGATGCGATTCAGTCGGACTGAGTTGACAGTGATCAATGAGGTAGGTATTGATAATAGAATCAAAGAGATGGTAGTAGACGGAGTTGTTGATGTGCGCATACTGGTCGTTGTCACTCCTAAAAATAAAAGAAGAAAGTCTGTAAGATGTATGCAGTTCGGTGTGCATGAGCGGGCTGACCAACGAGTGCGGTAGGAAAGGAAATAGACGTAGTCCGAACGTCGCCGCCTATTGGGATCGTTTTGCATGATGATACCGACAGACTCAGTGCTATTTAATGGCACAGAGATACATAACCTCTAATGTGTCAAAGTCGATAGAGTAGACTCTAGAGTGTTAGAGTGTGAAGGGAGAGATTTGGAACGGTGTAGTGTCTGTCTGGCACTGTTCGTTAATTTTACTTTGAATTTCCTCGAGTCCTTCAATCAGGCGCAATCACGTGCACTTTTGATTGTCCTTTAGACTCTTGCATCCGAGACGAATTCACCATTCATCCTCAAGCTGCTACACTGTGGTTGAGTATTTTATATCACATCACTGGCTTTTTCTCTTGTCTTCTTCGTTGACGTGCTTCATATCTTATAAACTTCAGGCTGAAGCGACAGTTTGGCATGATTGCCTTCTGACTAAGGTTAACTCTGCAGCTTGCGACTGAAGAGCTACTTGATCTGTTGTGCTGGCCGGTATCTTGTTATCATCGTTTTCTGGTACTACCTTCGAACCGAAGATGAGCGCTCGGGCACCTTTCGTCCCTCAAAGACCAGTTTCACGTCAATACTGTCATCAGTCTGAACGTAATGCCTCTGAATCACAGCTTCCTCATGATACGTCTGCTGTACCTAGTCTCCAAAATTTCAATGCAAGCTTGGACACAACATCCTCCAACTCGCAGCAGCTCGACGATCACTTCAATGATCAGGACTGCGTGCGGAAGGACGGCGCTATGAACCACCTTACACTGGGAGTCAACAAGCCATTGAATTTGTCAGCATTCACAAAGAAGAAACCGATGCAGCAAATTGCTACTGGCAAATCGCGCAGATCATTTGAGGATTCGACTGTGCAATCTTGCTCGCCAAGGCCTATGTTACCACCGCAGCAAGCTTCGCACAGTGCTTCTCTCTCCCCCTTCTTTCATAATGTGCCTGAAATTGCACCAACGGCTGGGATTCATGTTCCTCCCGCGATTACGTCTAAGATGCAAGCAGAAACACCTCCAAAAGATTTCAGCTCCAATCATGCGCATATACCCGACTCTGTCTTGCTTTCTGGTCTTCAGATGTCGGATAGGCTTCAGATGATGCAAGGCTTGCCCTCCGATAACTCTTTACCTTTCTCTCCTCTTGACTCAGCAGCTCCTGTGCAGAACCGCGAACAAGGATCTCGTCTGTTGCTCGAAGAGCTACAAGAATCTGTAGACGGCGATGAATGCAATGAAAATCATAAAATGATCCAGTACGGGCATCGCTCGAAGGAATACTGTAATTTCAGCGTCGAACTATCTGGGATTTTGCCATCAAACACTAATGCGCGTTGCGGCAATCCATTGACGAGAGCGGCTAAGCGTATGCAAGAAGTTGATCAGGATCACGACATGTATAACACGAAGCGTTATAAGATGGACCGCGTTTCTGTAAGTACTAACATCTATAATTGGAACATATTTTCATTGTCAAGTAACTGTATGCGTAGACGCTGGTTTCTCGTGACGCAGATTCCACAGATCACTTCGCAGTGCCTGACGATCCGGCGCATTTATGCGAACAGACACTTGTTGACCATCATCAAGGTTCATCCCTAAGGTCCCCATCCGACGCGAGATCTCTAGCGGCTGAAGATGGGAAGAGTGAAGCGTTATACAAATTACTTGGACGCGATTTAAACGCGTTTGTAGAAGACCGTGTGGAGGCATATGAGGCTGCCAAGAAGAAATGGTCTGAGTGCTCTATGGAGGAATGGAAGACAGGGGCCGAAGGTATGTAGCTCATTGTGCCTAGTGATCGATCTTGATGATGAATCGCTTGGATCCTACATCTCGTAGAGGTGGCTGGCAAATTCGCGAGCGTTATAGGCTACGTGAGTGTGCTTGCAGGCCCTCTTGAATCGTTCTAACGTCTGTTATCCTGAAGGTCAAAGAACACATGAGGTATGGTTTGATAGGGTTCCTCTTTGGAGGATCTCACATCTTTATGTTGATGTCAGTGCGAAACTCGTTCTTTATGCCAACCTTCATTCCGTGGTCGCTGCGCAGAGATCTGCTCTTTCTGAACGAGAAAGGGTGCTGGTTGATGCACGAGACGGTTTGGTGAGAGAAGGTGGGAATGTGGTTAGCCAGAACATGGCTGGTTTTCGAGGAAATGTGGGAGAGAACGAGGCTGAAGTATAATACTGTCTGTTGCAGTCCCATATACAAGATGCTGAACGTGGACGACGCTGTACGACGTGGCCCTAGATATGTGTTCTATGATGTTCAACCGACGACTGTATCTATACAACTACACCGGTACGATGAGCGATCGCAGTGCTGACCTCACGATGCCTTCTCGACGAGCTCATTTACGATCGAGACTGCTCTTCCAAACTTTGCTCTCTCCGCCTCGGTTGCCTTCCTCTCGCTCTGTCCAGTCCCACAACCTTGAGGGCCTCCGTTCATCCAAGTAAGATCTTTACTGCCGTATGCAATGCTCGTGTCCATGCCATATATATCTTCGCTACCTGGTGGATATTCGGTCGGGAGGGATTGAAGAATGGTGTGTAGTTCTTCGAGTAGAGTATTCACGCTTTCGTCAGAGCTGGACAGCGATTTGATCGATGCATCCTGAAGAGAAGGAGTCCCATCGGGACGGATGGCCGTGCCAATTTGCAACATCGGCTGCGAGGGGGATGCAGTGATGGTATATATCGCGCTAGCAGTTGGGGGAGCGAAGCCGCCTGTAATGCCTGATGAAACGATAGTCCAGTGTAAGCAACGCATCGGTCGAGCAGCGTGAAGCCCAGCGGTGACCGGTGACTTACCGTGTTGCAGACGAAGAGAAAACTCTGAGGGGCGCGGCATGGTTGTCGATCGTGAAGGGAGTTGCTACTAACGAGCCCAGGACTGCGAGACTTGCTGCGTAAGAAAGACGCCTGGGTCCACATATACGACACGCAATATCTAGCGAGGGTTAGCTCAAACTTGGCTGACTCAGGGAGAGAGTCCTGCCAATTCATCGCGCCACACGTCTCAAATAGCAGTGCGCAACCATAGTATTGTTAACAAACTGTGCAATCGTCCTTGAAACTCAAATTATACATAGTCTTATCAACAGTTTTCTCTATCTTCTTCCAATCTGCTCTCCTCTGTATGAACTCGTAGACATCCTGGCCAGCGTGTTAACAGTGAAGGCCGCGAAAAAAATGCGGCTCACCTCCGGCCTGTACGCCCCACCGTACCGCGTAACATCCCGCACAATCTGTGCGAGATCTTTAGCATCCTCCACAATAAATACATGACCCAGCATCTTGAGGTACGAAAATTCGGCTGTAATGTTGCTGACCTTCCAACCATAGTACCTTCAGCGGGATTCTGATGTCGAGAATTGGGTGCTGAAAGTACGTACTTTCAACGTCGATATAAATGAGTGATATGCGTTCAGGTCTGCGATAACCTGAAACCCTCCATTGAGTGAAATAATCTGTCTCTTCAGGTGTTTCTGCAAGATGCTACGAGAGGTCAGCTCGTTTCGAATTTGCTCCGTGACACAACTCACGCTATAAGACGAATTCCAATCTCTTGATAGAAGACTTCAAGAACTTCCTTGCTCGTACTGCCCTTCAGAAGCTGACAATGCATCTTCAAACATTGAATGACTTCCATACAGCCTTGTGTAGGACCGAGTTCCATAGGAGCATCTTCAGGCGGATAATATTCGCGCAGTTTGGTCAATTTTACAATAATATGCTCTATCTTGGATATGATGAGCTCAACCAGAATCATGTAAACCAGACCGTGACATACTTGATTCATTAACGCATCCGTTCCAGCGTTGAGGCCAGCAGCGACACAGTCATCCAAGGCATCTTCGAAGCGCTTTTTCTCCCTGACGACCGAGTTGAGAAAATCGGTGCGATCAATATGGGGGGCCTGACAAAGGTTGAGAATACACGCATGAAAGGTTGATAACATGAACATACCAGCTCCTTGTCGAAATAAACCTGAACCATGGACTGAATGGTATCTCCTATATGAACGAGCTCGAAGAACTGTAGTAGGGGCGCCACGCTGCGAGACTCCTCATGTTCAGCCGGCCGGTACGATTTCATCCGCTGTGTAGCGCTGATCACAATATTGCAAATCACACTCTCCAAGAGACTAACCCCAGGCTCACCTTTCGAATCCTGATCTAATGTGTCTATCAGTTAATGTCTGTAGGAGGAGCACAAAAATCTCCTCGATCGTGTCGCGTACACGATGCCCATACTGTCCTGGATAATCTGAAAATGTCTCTGCCCGTTTAAGTGATTCTCGGTCTGCGTGAATTAACTCAAGAGCCACGTCCAGTGATAACAAGAGATCAAGCTGTTGGTATTCCGGCGATGTAGTCAGAGCGTTCGATGCTGGTAGCGTATCCACCACGGGCGCATCTCCAGGTGCAGGCGAAGACACCGTGGATGGAACGAATGCTTGCCACCTCAGTGAACATGTGGCAGGACAATAATGGAATAAAATCAGACCCACATCGCTCCGAAGGCGTATTCTTTTCGCCATCCTCCGAGTCAGCTTCAAGATCCCCGATCTCGAAAATGGTTTCGTCGCCACCCTTGGAGAATTTTTGGCTGTACCAACTTTTCTCGTTTTCATCTTCAGCTTGAACGCCTAACCGGCCGAACCCTCGCGATGAGTGCGATATCCCGTTCATGCCATTACCTCCCCATCGTTGGGGATTCAACATTGAAATGCCTTGCACAGCTGCTGTACTACCAGTGGTGAACGCAGCACCTACTGCTTTCCCGAAAGTCCGAGGTACAATTGCTACTGGTAACAGTAGAACGTCAGCAAAAGATGCCAGTACGGTGCGTTTGACCTGGGCCGGATTTTGTGATCCCAGGAATCGGACATGGTCTGGCGCTGCGGTACCAGTGGAAGTCCGCCGCGATAACTGAGGAAATCGTTAATGTCAAGGAGGAGCAGGTAAGTTCAAGCCTACCTGACTTTCCCAGCGCTGACAGATCGTCTCAAAGCGCAATTTCACGAATTCCACTTCCTCATCCAAATACTCGTCCATATTAGGTTCGAACATTCGATATCTTTAAAGTATCTTAATTGAAAATTCCTCATGTTGGCAGAAGCGGCACTTACAGAACATCCTCTGCTTGCGCTCTTGATATGTTCGAATCACTTCGGCTATGAGCAATCTGTACTACAGTATTGACCATTCGCCAAGCCTCATTGAAGCTGGCGGCAGTCGCTTTCAAGAATATTTCATTCCCGATTTCTCTTGCACGAGTGAGTAGAGGTGAGATATACTCTCCTACCTAGATTAAAGAAAATGTAAGCGATCGGAACAGAAAGGAACTAGAAAGCGTGCATACCACGTCGGTTGCTAGACGGTCAGCGAATGTCAGGAGGACGTTGGTCTTTGGAGGAAAAACTCGAATTGCTCGTGGGCCATGCTCTCTAAGAGCATCAATGACCCCGCTCATAAAGCTGTCCATGGCGTCGAAAAACAGTCTCCCATCAGCCCTAGGTCAAAATGAGTAATATTGCTTAATAAGAAGGATAATAACACACACGTAAAGTTATCAAGAGGTTTCCATTTACTCTGCTCATAAAAGATCTCTCTCTTTTCCGCCCACAAACGTCCCAATTCCCAGGTGTCTCCTTTAAGTCTGTCCCATACATCCCAACTGGCCTCTGCGGCCTCCTTCATATCAGATTCGTTCCCTTGACTGTCCGCGATATCGAATGCAGTGAGGAGCCCATCTTCGAAACGGTCAATTGCCGCTTTTAAAGAAGCACTGAGAGTTTCCCATTTTCGCAGAGGTTTCACGCGGGGAGAGAGGAAAATCGAAAGTAGGCGTAGAATGTGAGCTTGCTGCCGTAGTGGGGGACTAGGAACGGGGAAGAGTGCTGAGAGCACAGCATGAGGTGCCACAGAAAGCGCGGGTACAAATGACTTCAGTAAACGATGTGCGCGAATATAGGGAGTCCGATGTGAGGCATTGAGCGATACCGCAGTATAAACAGGAGAGCGAGGGCTTGTTATGGATGTGCCTTCGAACACACCAACGAAATCACCCAATTCCCCCGGCTGTGCGCCAACATCCGCAAACTCGCCAAAATCGTCATCGACAATATCAACGGCTAGGGTGGGAGGTGCTTGTCCCTGCAAAGCTGCATTTTGAGCCTTCATCTTCTCCTCGATAGAGCTCAGGACGTCTTCGAGGTTGTGCTCCTCGATGCGAAACGCATTCCAGCGTGCCTCCCACACGCGGGCATCATTGACCAGCGTAGCCAAGGCTCTGCAGGTAAGAGCGTAAGCGGGCAGGTCACATATGGCAAGATGGGTAAGGATAAGAATGTGAACATCCACAGGAAGGTGACCAATAAGTTGAAATACGGCACGATCAGGTTGCTTAGGCAAACGTTGACTATTTCTCTGGTATAATCTAGTTCCAACCGCAGCGTCAGCGGACCCAGACGTAGCGTACAAACGGACAGGTTCTAGTGTCGAAAATTTGTCCATCGTCGTCTGACGAGTAAAAGTGGGTCAGGATGGAAGTGTCACCGTGGCAAAGGTGGGAGAGACACAGTGCCAGCGCCGATATTATTCATGGGCGACAGTGACACAGAATATGACACGCAACAAGCCAGTCAATGGGTGGATGCAAGATCAAAAGGGACAGGCAGATTATGGCGGTGGCTGTGCTCTCTCAGATAGGCAGGCTTGCACCTTCCGACTAATCTTATAGCGAGAGTAAAAATGAAGCTCTTGATGCTGGGGATGCAGCATAGAATGGTGTGCATTATATTGTCTAGGGACACTGCTAAGACATGTGGCCCAATGGTCTAGAGGTAAGATACTTGCTTTGGGATCACAACTGCAAGGGATCCCGGGTTCGAATCCCGGTTGGGCCCATTTTTTCTTCCCAAACATTTACCTTCTGTGGGAACATTGTGAGAGACAGTGAAAATCTGAGCAGGAGAGGCAGAAGATGAGATTATCTTAGGAGCTTGTATGTAGACATCTTAAGTATAAATGTGTTTGGATCTGCCTTGGCTAACTACCTAATGAGGTGTATCCACATTGCATCTGCCTGATTGTAACTGGGTCTCCCAGATGTCCTCTGGATGCCTTCAGATTGCCTGACTCTGTCATTCTCAATACTCCCCCTCAAACCAATAGGCATTACAATTATTGTAAGTAATTCATGATGCTGTGGTTTTGTGAGTGGTTTTGTAAAGATGTCAGCTAACACGTCTGCTATAGGGTAATAGGTAATTTTGATAACCTGTTAAGGGACCTGATGACTGAGGATCAGGAGGTCCACTTAAGACTACTACTGACAAAAGGTACTGCTACGCATAAGGCTGATATGCTATACTGGTACTAGACTTATAGACTGAGTCACTGTAACTGACAGTAGTTTGAGAACGTATACTGGTTGAAGCAAAGCTTCAGACTAAGACTGGAATAGACAACTGAGTCTATTACTAGAGATGTCCCTATGAAGTGTACATAGAGAACAAGAGGACAAAACTAAAGTACAGTAGCACAAGTGGGACTACTTAAATAGAGCAAGAAATAGAGTTTAATAAGTATGAAACACTGAGTTGGATCAGCGATGTACATGAAACCAGTTTCACTGGGTTGTATCAGTGATGAAGATGAAACATGATAGAGATGAGATGTGATGTAGGTGAAACATGATATAAGTGAAATATGATAGATATGAAACACTGGTACAGGTGAAACATATCAAGTGATGGGATCAGTTGTATAGTACAGGGTCAACAATGAATAGTTAGGAAAAGAAAAAGAACCCCCCCTTTGAAGCTGTAACATCACCCCCCTCTCCACATTTGTTGTTACAGTCATCATTGTGCACGTTGCTCCTTCAAGTATCCTGGTTCCTCAGTAGAACAAGGAGATTGTCCCAGTTGAACATCGATGATAGTGTGGAATTTATGATGAGGATGGAGTAGGCTGTAAGAGGAACACAACCAATGCCAACACTCACTCTGCAGATATCTGTCAACCTCACATTTGGTACAGAAGTGAAGGCGGCGAGGCATGGCACCAGAAGGGGGAGTGATAATAGAGAACTCGTGGTGTTCAAGTCATTCTTCTAGATTGGCGGCCTTGAGACAAGTCTGACACTGACTCATTTCTTCTTCTGTGCAAATGAGCTCCATGCCTATGGACCTTCATGCAGCAAGCAGTAGGTCAATCTTAGTGTCGACAGCCCTGAAACAATTGACTTCATCAATTACCCCTGGATCCCTAATGTCCTGTAATGATGCCCAGAGACTTTCTAACAAATTGTCATCGTGTGTCAGGAGATATTCCCAAGTGTTAAGGGACCTAACGACTGAGGATCAAGAGTTCAACTGGTTAACTGTTACTAGGACTTATACACACTATAGTCCTACACTGATACTAAACTTTGTAAACTGAGCCGCTATATCTGATAGCAGTTTGAGAGCATATACTGGTTGAAGCAAAGCTTCAGACTGAGACTGAATA